TTATGGGTTTCCTTTTCTTTCCTATATGTGTATGGGGCTCCGCTTGGCATAATAAAAGCTTGGTTACTTTGTTTGCTTCTCGTCGATTCATTTATTTATCATCGTCTCAGGGAAGTTTTTTGCTAGTCGTGGAGTAAAGTGTCTTGTCCAAGAACACAACACAATGTCCCCGGCCAGGGCTCGAACCCGGACCGTTCGCTCCGGAGTCGAGCGCACTTACCATGAGGCCACTGCGCCATATAACGCAATATGTATACAGCTCTTATTTTGTCACATACATTTAGTTTCCTGTGTCTTTTGCTATAGACCGGTATTCCACCATAATTTGATATGACAACTCTATGACACTTCGATTTGAATGTAATGACCAAGTCCCCTTGTTCACTTCCATACGGGTACATCCTAGGAATGGGCTCTGAAATTGGATTGAGAAGGTTGTTTTAGTGGTTAGAAAGTACGCTGGGTATGTAGAAGGAGGAGAAGATAAGGGGAAAGGAGGAGAAACATAGTGACGATGACGATGATGTTGACGAGCAAGAAAAAGAAAAATAGCACAACGATGAAAAGGAGACAGGGGGAGAGGAAGAGGGGGAGGGAGAAGAAGAAGGAAGAGGAGGAATAAAAGGAGGAGTAGACGGAGGATTAGGAGCGAGAAGGGAAGGAAGAAGAGGGGAAGCAAGAAAAGCAGGAAGAAGGAGGAAGATAGAAGTCGAGGATAATAAACACACCGAGGAAGATGATGAGGTTTTTGTTAAACCAACGGGAAATATAGCTTGTTGTTGATGTCGAAGAGAATGAGGGACAGGTATAAAAGGAGGAGCTAGGAGGGGAAGGAGGAGAGAGTGATACTGAGATAAGAGGAAAACTATTTTAGTTATACAGACTGCATTAAAAGACAGGTAACCTGTAGTTGGTGTAAAGCCTTGAGGAGTCGTCCCTGGTTCTGCAAAGACAAACAGTAAAACAAAAGTTGCGATCAAAAATTAGTGCTAGCATTTGTTTTTTTTTTCCACTTTTATTATAACCGGCACCAGCAGTGGCACTAGCACCAGCAGTGGCACCAGCACTGGCACCGGCACTAGCACCACCCCTTACCAATATCACTACCTTTACCACAGTCACTGGCTCTGGCACTGCCATCGGCACCGACACTGGCACTGGCACCACCCCTAACCAATATCATTACCGTTACCAGCAGCACTGTCACCAGCACCACCCCTCACCAATATCACTACCTTTACCACGGTCACTGGCTCTGGCACTGCCATCGGCACCGGCACTGGCACTGGCACCACCCCTAACCAATATCATTACCGTTACCAGCAGCACTGTCACCAGCACCACCCCTTACCAATATCATTACTGTTACCCCCAGCACTAGCACCGGCACCAGCACCAGCACTGGCACTGCAACTACCACTACCACCATCACCGTCACTGCCACTGCTTCTGGTACTGCAGCGGCCCTTGCAAACGCCACTGCAGCTACCAATACCAACACCAAAACCATTACCACTACGGCAACTGGCAGCAAATGCTGTTACCAGCCACCAGAGTGACTTGAAACACTATTGTAACCAGGACTAGCGGAGACACGTGACCAGACCGATAGTGCTACATACTGGTTACTACTTGGGCTGCTGCTGCTGCTGCTGCTACCACTTCTACTGCTGTTAATACCGTTACTATTTCTACCAGTACTACCGCTACTACTACTGCCCTTACCGCTACTGTGGCTGCCGCTGTTTAGTTTTTAGGTTTACAAAGGCAAAAAAAATTTGTCCCCAGTCACTGCCACTGGGAAATGAGAAACTGTTTTAGAAAAGAAACTGTTTAAAAACGTTTCAATTTGCTCACCTGCTAAAGTGAAAAAAGGAACCACTCCACTTGCATAGACCTGTTGACTAGCACTATAGCCCACTATCCTAAGCATGTATTCCGTTCCTGGCTGAAGTGGAAGCAGTGTACCCTCTTGCATTTTGGTTTTCTTAAAATTCCAGATTTCTTTTTCAGCGACGGGCTTGTAAAGTACAAAAAACTCTTGAATCTCCTCCGCGTCATTAGGTACGCGCCACGTGATTTGGACCTCATGATTCTGAATATCATCAAGACTAATATCTGAAAGATGAAGTCACTCTGATTGAGTAATCTTACCGAAAAACAAAAAAACAAACAAAACAAAACCTACTACTTAGAATGGCACGACAATAGCAAGATATTTAGTGTTTTACATGGCAAAATAGTCTTGAGGCAAAAAATAGCGTTCCGATTGGTTCTTTCTTGGGCGGGATTTTGCCATACGAACGGTTCCCATGGAAACGGCCGTGTACTTTTATTGTTTTGTGCCATATAACAAACGACCTATTAATCCAGCTTGCTTGAGCCGCACTTGGTAATATTGGCCCCCGGTCGATTTTGCACTGCCACGACTTCGGCCTAATATTCTTCCCATACAGCCCTCGCGCTCGGTTAGTAAGAGGCTATAAGAACAACTCTAGCTATATGATAACATTGCTTCAAGTCATTCCAGTTACATTACAAACAGTTTTGACATCCTTTGAAGGTTTTTCTTTTTTGTTCTTTTTTTCACCAGGGGAGGGGATAAACACGAATCCAACGGTAAACAGTGTTTACAAAGGAACTGTCTTGAAAGGTGAAGTCGTGTCCTTTCCTTTGTACATACTTACTTTCTTACTTCGATAAGTCTTTGCTTAAATTTTAAGAAAAAAACATTGCCAAAAATTAAAAGCAAGTGGAAATCATTTGCTTGACTTACTAATCTTTGAAGTGTCTGTAACAGCAAAGTAGGTTGCATTAAAGCCTTTAAATGTAAACCCGTTGTTTGTACGCATATACAGCACAGACTTGTGGTTCCTGGATCCCCGACCAACCAAGGCGAAAGGATTCGGGTGNGGGGGGGGGGGGGGGATAAATTAAAACGTTGGTATAGATTTACTGAATTTAAAAATTCTGAATTCTGATATTTTATCAAGACGACGTTGTTATTTCAAATTTCTTTCAATGAAGAGGAGGATCATTCTTGCTCCTACAAGGAGTATGGAAATTTAAGGTTCTGTTATTTCACCAAGAAATAATGCTTGTGAGCTTACGGGATTCTTAACGAACCATTTAATAAGTAAAATTTTAAAACGCGAAAATTAGAAGTGTCCTTCAGTGATGAGGTTGGCGACCTGAACTCGTTAAACCTTGCCGAATCTGAATAAAGACAGGGGAGGTCATGTTTTTGTTGTGTTTTTTTGGTTTTGTCTTCGTTTCGTTTCGTTTTGTTTTTGTAGATAGAATGATTTCAAATCTAATGGCAGAAAAATTCCCATAACAGTTGATTCGTTGACAGATGAAGTACTGATTTATAGGCCATAGGAAGCTTTTTGATGCTCTTGAACTAAAAGTATTAATTCAGATCGCATTTAAATAATGAAACAAAGGTAAGATCGTAATAGTATTATAGCAAGGAGAGCCGGAACTGCGAGTCACCTGGTCGAGCATAGACAGCCTCACTGACGACTCCCACTCCAGCTTTTGTGAAACCTGCAACTCTTATTTCGTAAGTTTCACTGTTGATCAGACCCTCTATGCTTGCTTGTAAGTCAGTGGGTCCGACAGTTACTTCAGAATACTGTGCACCATTGTCTTCATCTCCACGATCGTCGGACAATCTGTAAAAAACCTTGTATCCAAATAACACTCCATTGACACCGTCACTTGGCACATGACGCCATGTAACGCGGATGATGCCGACGTCTGTAGTTGTTTTAATGTCTCCCGGAGGCTTACTCGGAACTGAAACAATACAAGGACAGGAAAAAAATATGCTTAATTACAATACGCTTAGGATAGAGATATCAGGCTTTTACTGTCGGATACAGTTTTTTTTTCTTTTTTCTTTCTTTTTTTTTCGCAGGAAAGAAGAAAGGAAGGAAGGAATGAAAGAAAAAGGAAGAAAGGAGAGTAGGGAGAAAAAGTTTTTTCAAGGATATTATAAACTTGTGTCCCTCAATGGTTTGAGAAAAATAAACATATAATAAATAAAAACACTAAATGAGATTTGAAATAAATACAATTTTCGCACAGTCACAATGATGTAGATGTACAAGGATTAGAAGATACGCAAATTGCCTGGTCGTTGGGGCGCTGGATTTGTAATCCGAAGGTACCAAGTTCAAATCCTCCTCCATGCTACTAGATGGATTTTTGTTTGGTGGTCCCAGATTCAACTCCTCCACACTTTATACTGAAATAACCAACTAGTCAGTCTCCCACCAGTTTGGATTTTTAACAAATTTGTGTTCAATTTATAACATCTGTTTGCTTATTTCATTGGCCTTGTACAGCTCTTCTGTAAAATGAATTTAATGGTATGGAAGGGCAAGAATCCTTCTCGATACAATGTATACTTCCGATACACAGGAAGTTCTTTCACTTACCTCCCTCGTCAGTCTTAAAATATGCTTCCGCGCTTCCTTTAAAACTGATCTCTCCTCCTGGGTAAATTTTGACCAAAGCAATGACTTGTGCTGTATATTCCGTGTAAGGGCGCAGCCGCTCTACCTTTGAGCTATTCACACCAGGTTCCACGGTTAGTATAGTGGGTCCAGCTTCACGAAGAGTTGGTGTGCACACCACCGCATACAAGAACAGCTCTTCGTTTAGACCCGAGGAATAATGAGGCCATGCGGCGTCTACGGTAGCCATACCAACGTTCGAAGTGTTTATCATCCAGTTTGCAAGGGGCTCAGCTACAAGTAGAAAAAGAGAAAAACAAAATGCGACTTGATTTCTTCGCTTGAATTTCCAAAAAGCCACCTTTGGGTGAAAACATCGTTCTAGGCAAATAGTTTACAGCACAAAATGGTCTAAAATCAAACGAGCTCGGACTAGAAACAAACTTCAAAACGTGTATAGTTTGTTGGTTCCTAACTATATTATATTGTTAATTATAGTGTTAGGCTTTTCTGATAGTTCATTAGAAAATAGTTAGTAGGTTATTAATTATATTAAGTGTCCCCAATTAGGAAAAGGTTTTTTTTTTCACCATCGGCTAGACGGTGAGACACATTAATAAAGTTTATGTATGTGTATATGTATGTATGTAATTCTGTTTGAAAGTCAACTTAGTGGTTATCCACGTGGGGTGTGTTCAAAAAACGAAAAGAGGAAAAAAACAACTAGGAAAATGAAAGATAACCTCTAACGTGTCAGGCTGACTTGAAAGGCATAAGACTACAAAACAACTGGGCAATGTCATTCGGGAGAGACTCGACTGCAACTGAGCAATCTGTTTGGTTGCTTTTACTTACCAGCCCTTTGAACTAGCTCAGTCTTGTATACAATGTACGAGACGACATAATACAGTGAAACCTGTATTAAGCGGACACCCTTGGGACCCTCACTAGTGTCCGCTTAATACAGGGTGTCCGTTCTAGACAGGTTCAGCAATAATAGTTAATTATTAACCCTTTCGTAACACAGTATAACACAGTGTTAGATCAAAGACTACTCATAGCACAATGTCCAGACGGTCAATGGATCAATCTGGAATAATCTACTTCGCTTTAAAACACCATCGCTGAACAATGTTAAAGGTGTCTGAGCTGAGCGTTTAGAAGTAAAAAGCCCTTGAAGTGTCCGCTTATTGCCGGTTTTGTGCAACAAAATGACTTAATATTGGTGTCCGCGTCCGCTTAACAGAGGTGTCCGCTGAATGCAGGTTTATTTTACAGTAAATGTGGGGAAAGATTTGGGACTCAAGCTGGTGTCCACTTAATAGAGAGTGTCTGCTTAATATAGGGTCCGCTTAATACAGGTTTCACTGTACGATGCAACAAATGACGTGAGGAAAATACGCCACAGGCTACATTGGTTATCTTCATGAACTTATCTTTATCGAAATGTTAGTTATTTCTCACCNGGTTGCTGGTGGAAGGCCGGTGATGTTGAAATCAAATTGATCAGGGTCACTGATGGTTATTTCTCTTTTGTACGGTTGCGATCCATGGTGATATTCGGCCTCTAAGATATGAACCCGATATCCAAGCAGAGTACCACGTATGTAACGATCTTCGACTCTGTGCCACTTGACCCAAATTGTACTGTAATCGACCACACTATACCAGTAAATGTACGGGTTCTGAGATGGAACTAAAAAAATGAAGAAAAAATTTAGCCACGGGATGATTTCACCTGAAAGACACTACCGAGTACCTGAACTTGGTGTTCAGCATTAGTTTCTATGCCTTGAAAAAGTAAAAGTAAAAATGGCTGAAAAAAGTTACTGTACAACGAAGCTTGAGTGTAGGCGGATTACAAAGACAATCCTCAAAATTGACATGAACCTTGCAATTAATTGCAGAGATTTTCATTTTGTTAGTTCCACATTTCTCCTGCCAACTTGAGGTATAAACTAAGCCTATAAAGAGGGCGTTTTGAACTTTCCCTAGGTGGAGCAGGTGGGTATACATTAACGGAAAACAAGACCAGCAATGGAATGATGAATCACCGAACCATGCATCCTTGGGTGCATCATCAGTATGATTTTCATCCAGTTGTAACTTTCAAGTACAAAACATCAGTACGCAAAGAAATATATCAAAGACAACATGTCTGACTTGCCGAGAAAGACGTCAAGGAATGAATACGTAATCATCGCAGTTACTTGTGTCATGTACCTAACTCAAGCAGCTGTGAGATCAAAGCCTGAAGGAAAAAAAAAATCAGGCTCGGAATGNACCTTACTTGTTTTAATCCATTGTTCATGTCTCTGGGTTCCCTCTCCAACGGATGTAAATGCAGCCACCCATATTCGGAATCTGGTTGCTGGTGGAAGGCCGGTGATGTTGAAATCAAATTGATCTGGGTCATTGATGGTTATTTCTCTTTTGTACGGTTGCGATCCATGGTGATATTCGGCCTCTAAGATGTGAACCCGATATCCAAGCAGAGTACCACGAATGTAACGATCTTCGACTCTGTGCCACTTAATCCAAATTGTACTGTAATCGACAACACTATACCAGTAAATGTACGGGTTCTGAGATGGAACTAAAACAAATGGAGGAAAAAATTAACCATGGCATGATTTCACCGGAAAAGCACTACCGAGTACCTGAGCATGGTGTTTAACAGTAGTGATTGCAGAAAAGTTAATGTAGAGCAAAGCTTGAGTTCAGGCGAACTCCTAAAACAATCCTCAAGAAATTTTCACTTCGTTAGTTCCATTTTTCTCCTGCCAACTAAAATATAATCAAAGCTTATAAAGAGGGTGTTTAGATGTTTGCCTAGGTGGAGCAAAAGACTAGCAATGGAATAATGAATCACTTAACCAATATTCCTGGATGCATCATCAGTATGATTTTCATCCAGTTTTAACTTAACAGTGCAAAACATCTGTACGCAAAAGAATATATGAAAGACAACATGTCTGACCTGCGGAGAAAGACGTAAAGACATGAATACGTAATCATCGCAGTTACTTGTATGTGCATAACTTACACAGCTGTGAGATTGAAGCCTGAAAAAAAAAATCAGGCTCAGAATGTTGAAGCCTGTGTTTTAATTTTAACAGCTGCTTAAGTTGCACATAACTGCGATGATCATTCACGTCTTTACAGAGGATCAGTGCAAAAAAATGCTATCTTACCCCCTTCTGTTGTTCGAAAATCTTGCCAACTTATGCTACCACGTGTTCTATCTTCTAATATGGCGGTCACTTTGATGGTATAATTTGTGAGAGGATCCAACCAATCGATTGTCGTATTCTGCTGTTCTGCAGGTAACCACTGTGTTCCAAATAGTTTTCTGTTTGGCCATCCGTAGATAACAAGGTATTTCTCTACAGCAGAATCTCCAAGAAAGCTGGCTGGAGGACTGGGCCATGACAGAGTGATTGATACGTTGGTAACTGACATCTGAGCTACACTCCACGAACTTATCTCCTCACCTAGGTGTACAGAAATAGAAATTAGTCAATAAGCAAGATTATGGCTTCTTTAATGTCGCCAACCCTTTTAAAAACCGGAGGTCCTCCTCCCTGCAACTAGATGGATTTGTGTTTGGTGGTCCCAGATTCAACTCCTCTGCGCTTTGTAAATAGCCAACTGGTCAGCCTCCCACCAGATGGGATTTTTAACAAGCTTCTGCTTAATTTTCAATATTTGTTTGCTTATTCCAAAGTCCACAACTAGTACAGCAGTGCTACACACTGACACTTGAATAAAGTGGTCTCTTTTTTATCCTGTGTGTAACTGCATTCTATAACGAACATCCACTAGATTAGCTTTGCTCTTTGGGTGATCCTAACGCCCTATCTACATTTCAATCTGTGCATCACCGAACTTAAGAAGCGCGTGGCTCTCATAGAAACATCTGGTCACGTACAAAACTCAAAATGTCAACTTAACATAAATAAAACATCACAAAGGTTGGTCGTTATTCCTTGAATGCTTCAAATGCAATGTCAATTTGAAGTCGGTGCGTTTCTTGACCCTCAGCTTTACCTCGCCAAGGTGGCCTCATGGTTATTGCATATCAGTGCATGGTCCAAGGTCCAACGCTAGCCGGGGACATTGGGCAAGACACCCTACTCCAAGAGGTGTATAAATACACGGGACCCGGCGAATTCAATGTTGGGGGGTAACCCTGCGATAGACTAGTACTCCATCAATAAGGGAAAGTAGAAATAAGACATATCCCTAGTCACTTCGTGCTTCATAGAAACCGGAGATAAGCGTTGGCCTGCTGGGCCACTTGGTTTGTTTGCAGACTTAACCTACCTTAGTTACCTCAGCTTCCCCTCCACCACCATCACAATAATCAATTAATTCACTGTAACACGGAACAGAGACTGACTCACATGTATTTAGATACAGCATTCTTACCTATCACCGTGGTGAGTTCGCCAGGTACTGCTCTGTAATCGAACAGAAATCTAGTTCCGTCTCGATAATCATCGTCGTATCGATGGTAGCCAAATCCCCACGCTTTCAGATTCAACACATTATCCGTTATAAGAAGAGTTAGGTTCTCTATCCTTCCGCAAAGTACGAGTCCAGTACTATCATCATGCTCCGATTGGCCCGGAAAGTAAAACTTGACTCCACCACTGTAAACATCGAGAAGACGAATTGGACAATAATTTGGAGTTTTCGATTTGACTTAACTGTTACAATAACTTTACTAATCGCCCAGCGAAAGAAATATCTTGACATTAACATTGGGTTCTTTCCATTCGATGAAACGTTCCAGTTAGAATTTCCGGAAATTTCCAGAGAAGAATGGAACAAGATTTTCTGGAATTTCAAGAAAGGGAGTGCAACATTACGAGTTATACCGAAATTTTCGGAAAGTACCTACCGGGAACTTCCGTTCCATTTGACTTTCGTCCCGGAATTTCCGAAATTTTCGGTTGAATGGTTCCCTTTTCGGAAATTCAACAGTTTCCAGATTTTCTGAAAACTTTCCCAGGAAATTTCCTTGCTATTTGTCTGAGTTTCGAAATTTTCGGATTTTTGGTGGAATGGAAAGCGGCTATTAATTGCAAGACCTGTTGATAACAAAAAATTGTTGAAAACTCCGAGATAAAGTTATGTTTACCCATGAAAGCCAAGACGTACCTGCATCCACCCCAGTCTTCTCTACGACCAATTAGGAAGTCGTCGAATGTGATCAATATGGCCGATACGTTGGGATCTGCAGGTCTCATATTCCAGTAGCATTGCGGGTTTTCATCATGTTGGTCAGGTGCAATGTATGGAGTACTAGGATAATTAGGACTTTGAATTTCTGTGTCAAGTTCCTCAATTATGCGACCACAAACTACAAAAGGAAAAACACCACATGACAACAGCAACTAATGGGACTCGAGGAAATAGGCTTTACTGTTGTTAAATACACAAACATGATTAATGTAATCCTTCGGGAAAACAGGTCATTTTAGTTGTTTACAGAACTAATAAATTTTCTAAGCGGTTGACGTATATTGTTCACGAACTCCCCCAAAAAGGCTTTTATTGTAAATACACTTGTGTAACTTAATGCTTTCCTCAGAAGAGTCCTGGCTAGCAGCGCTTGAAGAAATAGCATAACTGGAGGCCGCTCATTTGACCAAGCCAACCGGTCGTACAAGTGTTACGTGATTACTGACAATCACGCGTACTTCTTCTTTAAAAGTGTCTGAGATCAGCCACAATCAGGTTAAAAAGTGGAAAGTACTGCACCATGGGGGGTAAAGGGTATCCTTAACGTGCCCCCTTTGCCCATCCTCCCGCTCCTGCCACGCTTCTACACACGCTAACTTACACCTGGTTTTGGCAGATGAACCTCGATAATATTTGATGTTACATTCAAATTAAGTCAGCTAGTACATAACTTTGAATTGTACTTTTGTATTGTACTCATAGAATCGTGTCTGCATTTTTAGTAGGAGTAACTTACAAGTTATTGCATAGATTCGCTGCTTGCCCTCTCCTTTGCTAGTGAATCCAGCAATGGCAAGGATATATGTCGGTCCTTCGGTTAGATTGACCAGGTTGACTCTCCTCGTATCTACGTCTACCTCGAGCAATATTTCTGAATTATTTGGACCACCCAATGGGGCATATTTAATGATATAACCAAGTAATTGGCCTCCGTGATATCTTTCTTCCAAGGGACTGATTTGAAACGAGGCGCTGCGTTCAGCTGTGTTTGTAGACCAGTCATGTACATGAGGACCCTCGGTTGGCACTGAGGACAAAATATATTGTAATACGTAATTAGCGCAAAGAGGACCAAAACTAAACGATATCGCAATTATCATTAGGGACCTTTAGCAAACCACGACGGCAACGAGAACGCCACCAAACGAAATGTTTAATGAGCTAAACAATGGCTGTGCACGTGCGTTATATATCTTTGTACATTTCTTGGCCGTCCTCTGCAGAACAACAACTTGTAATGACTAAGTTTTGCGTATTTTGGAGAACACGAATGAGGAAGGCTAATTTTTTGTATTTCCACGTGGAATTGACCGCTGGCGTTACATATTTAGAATACCCTGCTGTTGTTCTCGATTCTACTTACGCATATGCTTTTAAAGAACGAGAAATGAGCAGTAATGAAGTAACTCAAGTGACAGGGTATTCTGCAGTTAAGCCTTTTTTCCTAGGCGTTGCCCCTGGGGTCGCCATCGTCATTGCTTAAGCTCTCAATTATAACCGTGACAATAGTGGCAGTGAGAGTGTCATCTAAGTTCACAATGATAGAAGCCATCATTCCAAAATCATGCTCAAATTTAATCGATTGATGCAGACTGACAGACTGACAGACTTTCTAAATGTAAATGGCACAACATAAACAATTTCCATTGGTGTAGTGAAGTTATCTTCAGAGTTATGGGAAGAATGTTCAGTAGATGGTGTTATAAGTCTGGTACGTTGAATTTTAGCCGCGATCGTATTGACTGGAAGACTCGTGTAAGGTCTGTCAACAACCATTGGGAAAGACTGTCAGAAAACATAGCACGAGACTGACTAGACACTAACGAGCGACGAGAAATGGTGACGCCTGATATCACATTGGTGAACATCATGACCTAACACACCAAAGAACTCTCTGCTCAATGCTTTACATAAAGCACAAAATATTTTAAACGAAATGGTCTGGAAAGCTGGTAAATTAACTTACGGACATCAAACACATCGAAACTTGTACTAGAACTGACTCACTCTTGACAAATGACTGTTGACAAACTTTACACGAGTCTTTCTTCGACTGACAAACACCGTTCACTTGACTCTGAAGATGACTTCCAATCAGGTTGTCGAGACGCTAATCACCAACAACAGTTCTTTTTAGAACTACTCTCGCCCAGATGACCACACTATACGAACTACCGATACTCCTGGGTACAATTTTCGGGTTCTTCTAATATAACGTTTAATTTTGCTTTGTTTGTTTGTTTGTTTTTTTTTCCCTTGTTTTGAAATCTTTTGCTGCATTGTCGGTATTGTCAAAACGTGAAACAGAAATCGCGTACCTCCCTCTTCTGTACCAAAAGTTCTTCGCTCGCTTTTGATGATTTCATTATTCTTGTCTACGATGTAAACTACTGCTGCAAACTCCGTCGCCGCTGGGAGTTCCTTCATGATAAAAGTCGACTCTGATGAGTTAAAAGTTCTAAGAATGCGCAGTAGCTGTCGATCGTCATCGTCGTGATCGTCGTAATATGGGCTAATCGTTGTTTGGTTTACAGACAGTATGAAGAAAGCGATGTCCAGGTCGGGGGGGTAGCCATACCAATCCAATGCGATGCCACTGTCTCCTGTGCTGTATACAGATATGTTCCAGAGAGCAGGTGAAGATTGGGCTAAGACATGAATTCAAAGATGCATATCAGTTGTAAGTATGACGATTTGATAAAAAAAATAAATTTAAAAAAAAAAGACACAATCCCTTAAAAAATGAGCACTTGTAACAATGTTGTTACAGCTAAGCAGCATGTAAGGAGGGTGTTTTACAAGTGGAAAGTGTTTCTATTGCCAACGTTCTTTGGCAACGTTATTACAATACAGTAGTTATTATGCATGTTGGTGTCAGTGGGGACTAGCTAATTTCATGACCAAGACTTCCCTTCGAGTTCTCGAAGCAGCAANAAAAAAAATAAATTTAAAAAAAAAAGACACAATCCCTTAAAAAATGAGCACTTGTAACAATGTTGTTTCAGCTAAGCAGCATGTGAGGAGGGCGTTTACAAGTGGAAAGTGTTTCTGTTGCCAACGTTCTTTGGCAACTTTATTACAATACAGTAGTTATTATGCATGTTGGTGTCAGTGAGAACTAGCTAATTTCATGACCAAGACTTCCCTTCGAGTTCTCGAAGCAGCAAAGATGAAGGCAGTTTCCACGAAAAACGAAACTATGATGTTCAAGAGGTTTAGGAAGACATTGAAAATTACACACAGGACGTTTATAGAACACCACATACACCACACACATTGTTTTTACCGTTTACAACGCAGCTGAATTTTTCCTACCTGAATGAAGTCCTCCGTTCAAAACAATCAATTCAGTTTCCATGTAGCTGTTGCTATTCTGTATGAGAATCTCGGAGATAATAACCCTTGAATTTCCAAAAGGCAATTCGAATACTTCACCTCTAACTTCTGAGCAGTCTTGATAACTTAAGAAGTCATTTTCTTCTGAGTAAACTTTTGCGTATTCGTAGCTGTAAATAAAATATTGAAAAGTCTGTGAGACGAAATGTTATTTGGTAACAATTCTACTCTTGATTTAGGGCCGAACGGAGCCCTCGTGTTACATTATTCTACACCTCCTGTTCTCCATTTTTAGTTAATCAGAATTCACTAAGTTTTTCAAGTGAGGCATACAAACCTAAAGTTTATTGATTAATTTATTACTTAATTTGTATAGGTAATCACATTCGTGATTTCCACTTCATTGGTGTGATTAAGCCCAAGTAAATTCTTCAAAGCCTAACAGATTGTGCGACCTGGAAGGTTCAGACGTGATATTCGGACGTTTTCGATGTGGTGGGTGATCTCTGGAAGTGTTTTGAAATCCAGTTATCTTCGGCTATCTTCGAGCGTCTTCGTATTAACTTGGAAAATTTTTGTTGTAATAGTATAAAAAGTTTGTACTCGTGTTACAGTTTTCTACACCCCCTGTTCTCCATTTTTAGTCAATCAGAATTCAGTAAGTTTTTCAAGTGTTTATAACAACAAGAACAAGTAGTGGTAATATTAAAATGAATTTACATTACCCGCAAGATTCATAATGCAGGACGTGTACTGACATCAACAAGACAGCATTTTCCAAGCCATTATCGTGTATTTTCCAGACGCAATGCCTCGTATCCCAGTCTGATTTGGAAATTGTTATCAGTGCAGCTGTTTGATTGAACATGCCACCACAACCTATGTTGAACATGAACAGTTTCTCCGTTATACAATTGATATATATCAACCTTGCACATGTTAGTTTTAATGTTGGCAGATTTGTCCCTGAATGAAGCTTTGCATATGGGTTATTGACCGAGCCAGAGGTGAACATGCCGAGATGTTGGCCCCGTTCCTTCGTTGCATTTTTTGTGGACCGATATACATCAAAAAGTAGACGGTTCAAAGCGTGGTCAATAAAGACACTATTATTTGGTATAAGAACTATACTTTAAGAACCCCAGTTTCCGAAATGCAAACTATTCAACTGATATTCCCCATGTGAAATGTTTTCAACACTCTGGGCATACGTCGTGAGGCCAACCTCCTTTCGGGAAATTTAGGAAAATGCTGTTCAATTTACCACTGGAAACGCCCCAAAATTCAAAATGGACTTAACGGTCCAACGAAAACCCCACAGTGTTGTCATATGCTCTTTGGCCGGGCCGTAAACAAGGTATAGTAACGTTTATTTTCCTTTGAACGGTTTTCTGCAAATGGTGTCCAATGATTTTGATCTATGTGGACAAACTTATTTGAAGAACACAAGGTGTTTTTGATTGCTTGTTATCCACTTTGCATTGTACCCAAGAAGCTGGTTTAGGTATTTTTGGCCGGGTGTGTTGTATAGCATCATAAATTCCAAGTACGACAAGAAGATTTTATGCAGAGGTAAAGAAACTACAGCAACATGGTTACTGCAGCAAACTAATAAGGGGAACCCAATTCCAGCTAAATTGTTATCAAATTAGTAACAGTTACGAGTGCCATGTCTTCGAGAATGCTAAGCGTGTTGTCGATTCTAAACAGAAGTGTAAACAGGAGAAATAAAATGATCAGCGACTAAGTTATTTTTGAGAAAAGCAAGGCCGAAATTCCACGGAACAAAGTTTTGATGTTCTATTTCTCCTTTAATCCACTATTTTCGAAATGAAATTTTAAACCTAGAGAGAAGAAGGCTCTGTTATTTCGAAATGCTAAATTTTGGGGAAATACATGTAAGGTTGCATTTAGAGCTGATATATTCCTTAATATGTTTCGTATTAAAGTAGTTTACTTTTAAGAGGACATTCATAAGCCACGCCCTTACCAACTACAATTGATTGTGGGTAAGAGAGTGGTCCCTCCTCGCTGTTAAATGCAGAAACCCAAACATAGTACTCTTCCATTATTTCTAATCCGTGTATAACAGCCTGTGTTTCTGACGGACCGATGGTGACTTTCTCTCCCTGGTAGTTGTGATCATGCCGGTCCTCCTCACGTTTGTAATACACGTTATATCCTTGCAGATCACCGCCATGTTGACTCTCAGGAAGTGCCTCAAATCGCACTATAATACTGTTTTGATGATAGTTATCGACGCGTACGTTCGGCGGTGCCATACTGGGAGCTGAAAATGTAAGAGAAGAGTGGAATCCCGATTTCTCGAACCCTCAATTTTTCAAACCTCCCGATAACTCGAACCAAAAGTCGTTTTCCCTCCTCAGTAGAACACTGTTATTTTACCCCCGATTTCTCGAACTCTCCGATTTTGCGAACCAATTTTCTTTTCCCTTGGAGGTTCAAAAAACAGGGATTCCACTGTAAACATTTTTTTTAAAACACGCGAGGTCGATGGTTCAGTCAACCATTTTTCTTATTTCCAGGGAGACTTCAATAACGGAACAGTTACTATCATCCGGATAACATCAAACTCATGCATACCCTTGCCGATAGATGCCTATTTCCATCTCACTGTTTTCAAGAGCATCGACAGAGATACAGCCAAGCGTTTTTTCTCACTTCTAAAAAGCTATACAAGTTTCACTGAGAACTATGCACGAACTATCATAAGTGATGAATTTGCTGCATTTGTGATTAAAATCGGCAAAAGCACCAAGGAGATACTAAGAAGATATTAAATTTAAAAAAATAAATAAAATTTCAAAATTTAGAGAGGAAGCCCCATCAGCCTTAGCTGATGCGGGTCTTTGCGCCATCCCTGCTCCCCCATATTAAGCGAATCGTTCCAAGAATAGCAATTTGTAATTAGCTTTTAGCTTTTTTTTAATGCGCAAGGGTAGAATTTGAAGCAGTCTTCTCTACGATTGAAATTGGAATTGAAAACATCGCGAATACGTCACTTGTGATAACATTATTTTTATAGTTTTGGTTCACTCTTATGAACATTTTCAAAGTTATTAGATCATTGTTTTAGATTACAATTGACGTAAATACGACCTCATAAATATGAAGTATGAATCCATCTTCAGTAACAACATACCTCCTTCATTCGTCTTCATGGAGACACTATCGCTCGAATATATGTCATGTTCAATGCCTGGCCCTGTGAATGCCACAACTTGTAACAGGTATTTTCGATCCGGGTAAAGGTTGTCTATATGCCGAGATCTGTCCCATTCGGAAACTGGCAGTAACAGGGAGATGTTTTTATTTGCCTCTGAGATCTTCAGAAACATTTGTTCAATGTGTGCAGGCATAGCGTTTTGTGGAAACTCTTCCCATGATGCCTCAGCCTTTGTCGATTCTATGTTGCTGACTGACAAAGTCCACGATGGCACTTCAATTTCTGCAATAAAGAATGAAAAGGTGAGAAGACGAACACCATCAAAGACCAAATAAACGGAGAAAG